TGCTACAGTACTAGTGTCCCCAAGAACAATGTTTTCCCACACAGGTGACCTAATTAAACCAGGTCTATACAACCTGTATCACAGACGTTTTATTACCTATACATCCAAAGTTCTCCAAGTGTTCTTGCCTAGCTAAAGGGTTTGGGAGTTTTATTTGGGTTTCAGTGGTTGGTTGGTTTTGTTGGGTTTTTTTTACAATACTTCAGGCAGTTGTATATCTTTGGCCTGTGCAAGCCTTTAATTTTGCAAAGGGGAAAACAAAACAAAACTGTAGGGCAAGGAAATATAGATGCTTTATTTGTTTAAATACATAACCAACATAATGAGTCTCTCTCAACGAGTATAAATTATTGTTATTCTCACCATTATACCTGCCAGCAGGAAAAATAAACTGTATTTGATTTGCTAAACAGATGATACCTTGATCTATTAATTCTCTCATAAGAGATACTCTAATCTTCTTTAAAATACATGTTTCAGGGAGCAAGGGAGGAGAGAAGGAAGAAAAACATAATTTTAGGCAGTGTCCTGAACTAGAAAGTATGAGACTTAATCCAGCAACTTGAAACCAAGTATTTGACAAAGTTCTCCTGGTTCTAGAGAATAACATGTAATATGTAAATATTTGTTTCTACAAGTAACGTATGTTATCAAATTGGCTTGTATCACCAAAATGTATTCAAAAGCCATTTATGAAAATTATTTTATATAAACGAGTGAACAGACCCCAACAGAACAGTACCCTTTTATGGTTGGACTTGATGATGTTAAAGGTCTTTTGCAAACAAAACAATTCTATGATTCAAGCATCTGATTTACAGATCTGTAACAGAAGACATGCCAAATACACTTGCATTGTGAGTAGGCTCAAATTAAATCTTAAATCACATAAAAAATTAAGTGATCCCAGCACAGTGCTTTGCTCTAAAAATAACCCAAGCAAAGAGCTTTGCTGGGCAAGCAAGATTACAGGTAGGCTGCTAACAAGTTAACATTGTTTGTTTTGCTTTTTGTTTGTTTTTTTTTTTAAGCCTGGTAGTGTGACAGCTTCTTCTAAGCCAAAAGTAAATTTCAATGAATCACAGCAGCGTGCAACTTACGAAAGTAGTTAAGTACCAAGACCCTAGAAGAACCTGTGAAAATATCGCGCGTACTATAAAAGCGCAAGAACACTGAACTAATAACAAACAAACAAACAAAAAAAAATCTGTAATTTTTTAAAAAGCAACGGCGGGGTCTTGCAGAGCGCAGGGGCAGCAAAGGGCGGGCAGGTGGAGCAGGCCCATCGCACCCAC